TGGGAGAACTGGGTGCCCTGGGGGTGCAGGACTGGAGGCACTGGATAATCAGGACAGCACTTGGAGTACTGGGCGAGGAGGGACTGGGGGAACTGGGGGTGCTGGAGAATCCAGGCCGGGAAAGGGGTGAAGGTCTGGGAGAACTGGGCGGGAACTGGGGGGGTCAGGACTGGCTGTGCTGGGTGGGCAGCACTGGGGCTTACTGGGAGGGCTGGGGGGTCGGACTGGGGGGCACAGGTGGTGGGATCCAGGGTGGGACTGGAGGGAGGCTCTGGATTTGGAGCTCTCCCAGGCCGGGTCAGTGGGCTCTGCCTGCCCTGGAGCCACTGGAGAAGCTGCTCAGGGACGTTGTCACCCCAAGGCTGCTACTTTCATTTTTTTAAATATAATTTTAATTTAATTTAAATTTTATTTTAATTTCTGTTTTTATTTATAATATTTGCTTTTATTTTATTTTTTATTTTTTATTTAATTCTAATTTTCTATTTTTATTTTAATCTTTATTTTAATTTTAACTTTATTTTTATTTTTATTTTCTTTTTAATCTTTGTCTTTATTTTATTTTTCGTTTTATTTTTTGTTTTTATTTTAATCTTTGTTTTCATTTTTTAATTTATTTTAAAAATTTTTTATTTTAATCTTTGGTTTTATTTTACTATTATTTATATTTTTCACTTTTTATTTTATATCACTTTTTATTTTATATCACTTTTTATTTTACTATTATTTATATTTTTCACTTTTAATTTTATATCATGTATATTATGTATATAAAATATGTATTATATATTATTTTCATTTTACTTTTATTTCTATTTTTGGTTTAGTTTACTATTTTATTTTTATTTATTTATTATTATTTATTACATATTTATATTTTATTTTTAGCTTACTATTAGTTCACTATTATTTCTATTTTTGGTTTAGCTTACTTTTATTTCTGTTTTTGGTTTATTTTTATTTTATGTTAATGGAACCATCCTTGCAGTGCTGAAGAAGCGCCTGGTGAAGCTCGTGGTGAACTTTCTCTTCTACTTCAGGACAGACGAGGCCGAGGTGTGGAATGTGCTCCTGGGTGGGCTTTGATTCCCTCCCTCTTCCTTCTTTTTCCCGTGGGTTGGTTGTGGGGACTGGGAAAACTCTGCTGGGACAGCGTCCCCTTTTCCTCAGCTCAGCAGGGCTCCAGGAGAGCTGGAGAGGGATGGGGGCAGGACACAGGGAATGGCTTCCCGCTGCCACAGGGCAGCTTGGATGGGATATCGGGAGGGAATTCCTGGCTCTGAGGGTGGGGAGGGGCTGGGATGGAATTCCCAGAGCAGCTGTGGCTGCCCCATCCCTGGAAGTGCCCAGGGGATCAGAGGAGCAACCCAGGATAGTGGGAGGTGGCCCTGGATGGGCTTTGAGGTCCTTCCCGCCCAAACATTCCGTGGAATGTGCAGCAGATGAGGATTTCAGGCCCTTCCCCGCTGCCTGATTCGGGTCTCTCGTGCTGTGTCACTCGCACAACAATTCCCAGTGGGCTGCTCTCGTTCCAGGCCGTGTCCCCGCTGTCCTTGCTCAGGGCTGAGGTAGTTCCTGGTGTCTGTGTGTCCCCCTGGAGCTGTTCCAGCTCCCCACACCCTCCTGCTGCCAGGCAGGGACAGCCCCGGCACAGCAGGGCTTGTTCTGTGTCTCCCAGGGAATATTCCAGGGAAGCAGAAGTTCTGTGCTGTAAAAGCCGGGGGGGGCAGAGGTGATTAACACCTAATTAATATCCGCAGAGTGCTGCAGGTCAGACTGGCACTGGAGGCACCCAAAGGTGATTAAAGGGTGGTGGATTGTCCTGCAGTCAGAGTGAATTATTGCAGAGGAGCACCAGGGTGTCAGACTTGCCTGAAGGGCTGCAGGGAAGGGCTGTGGGTTCGGTTCTGGGGGCACTGTGGGTTAAACCCCTCTCTCTCCGTGTGTTTTGCAGCCCATTGGAGCTCTGCTGCTGGAGCACTGCAGGATCACCAAGGAGGAGGAGAACGTCTTCTCCATCAGTGAGTGCTGCCTGGGCATCGCCCCTGGCCCTTTCCCCCGGGGGCAGAGTGAGAGGGGATGTTTTGCTGCTCAGTTCCTGCTGCTCTGGTGACAGTGGGGTCAGCCCAGCCCTGCCCCTCCTGGCTGGGGTCAGTGCTCCTCGGGTGGGGTTTGGTCTCTCCTCCCAGGGAACAAGCGACAGGACAAGAGGGAACAGCCTCAGGGGAGGTTTAGGTTGAATATCAGGGACAATTTTTTCATGGAAAGGGTGTTCAGGCTGCCCAAGGTGGAGCCACCATCCCTGGAAGTGTCAGAAAAACCGTGTGGATGTGGCTCTTGGGGTCGTGCTTTAGTGGTGACCGTGGTGGTGCTGAGCTGATGGTTGGGCTTGACAACCTTAAAGATCCTTCCCAGCCTTAACAATTCCGTGGCTCTGTCCCTCACTGCCAGCTCTTCCTGCCTGTGCCACGTCCCATCCCAAGCACGGGGCCACTCCAGGGTGTGGGATTTGCTCAGCTGCACGTGCAGAGCAGCCAGAAATCCCTCCTTGGTGGGGGGGTTTATTGACAGATCTCTGCTGTGCTGCTGCATTTTATCCACCTCCCTCTCTCAGTGGGCTCAGATAAAGCCTCGGTGGGGCTGATCCAGCCCCTCCTCCCGCTGTGCTCCGTGTCCTTGTGGCGATACCGCGGCTCCAGCTGGATCCGTGTCCCCCGGGAGAGCCTTTCATCCCACACGTGCTGACAACAACAGGATGTTCCTCCAAGGCCGTCCCTGTATCTCTTGGCCTGGCTGCAGGGGCACAGCTGTGTCTCCTCCCTGCTGCTGTCCCTGCCTCCAAAGAGCCCTCCAAAACGGCCCCAGCGCTCCAGGCTCACCGAGTTTCGGGGTCTGGGGCTGTGTGTGTGGGGATGAGGATTCCTGAGGGAAGTGTTGAGCCCCCCAGCAGCTGCTGTGGGATGAGGGCAGCTCGTGGCCCTCTCCCAGTGCAGTTGGACTCCTCAGTGGCTGCTCTGTGCCTGCATCCCAGGCCCTTCCTCAGGGCTGGCTTTCACTTTGGTTTGAATCCCTGGAGGCTTCCCCAGGAGCCTTCAGGGAGTTCCAGGCCCAGGTCTGGTCCAGTTCAGTTGCTCTCACGTTGGGAAGTTGGTCTTCCCGAGCTCTTTGGCTGCTGGAAGCTGACAAGTGGCCTGGGCAGCTGCTCCAGGGCACCCAGAGCAGGGAAGGGACAGGAGAGGGGCCGTGACTGGGATTACCAGCCCGGTCCCAGGTCGGCTTCGTTAACAGAGGTGCTAATTGTGGCCCGGCAGGGGAGCAGGGGCAGCTCTGCCAGGACCTGCCCTGAGCCCTTTCCTTGTTCCTGGCAGGTTTCATCGAGGAGCCAGAGAGGAAATACTGCTTCGAGTGTGCCAGTGAGGAGCAGTGTCAGGAGTGGGTCGAGGCCCTCAAACGAGCCAGGTGGGAAGGGCCGTGGGAAGGAGCTCTGGGATCAGCCTGGGGGGAACCCGGGAGCACAGGGGTTGTCTCCTCCCAAAACAGCTCCCCCCACCCCAGCCCTAAACGGCATCTGCAGCTTGCCCACGTCCTCCTGTGCTCAGCAGGGTCTGGTCCTGTCTTGCAGCTACGAATTCCTGAGGAGGAGCTTAATTTTCTACCGGAATGAGATCCAGAAGATGACAGGGAAGGTGAGTGAGGCCCTCGGGGTCGGGTGGTGACTGATGGGTCTGGACAGGAGCTGGGGATTGGTCCTGCACAGGCTGTTTGATCCGGAGGGAGATCCCAGATTCCACAGGGAGCCGTGGGCTCCACAGGCACATGGGAGCACCCTCCTCTGGACACACGTCTGTGCTGGAGTACGCCAAGGATGGGAGCTGGACAGGCCTGGCTGGGCTCCCAGCAGGTCTCTGGAAGAGTTCACCACCAGCCCTGGCCAGATCTGTGGGTGCAGATGCTGCTCTCACCCTGCCAGGCCCCTCGGAGCATCCCCGGTGACAGGGGATGACTGTGGGTCAGGGGTGGCAGGGGGTGACTGTGGGTCAGGGGTGACAGGGGGTGACTGTGGGTCAGGGGTGACTGACAGGGGGTGACTGTGGGTCAGGGGTGACAGG